GAAATATGAATAAATATACCTATAGTAAATAATTATTAATTTAATTTTGCTTTTTTTATTTGTTGGTGTTTATTTATAATTATTATATTAAACTATAATTTAGGAATAATAATAACAATAATATATTAATAATGCATTATTAATAAGTGCTTTAAATAAAAGACAAGTTGTTATTTTTATTATTTAATAATTATTACCTATATTTTAAAAAAACCGATAACAAATTTAAAAATAAAAACATAAGATAAGGTAGCAATAGCCGGCTTGGCCATCATAATTAAAAAACCTGATTCCACACCTAATTGATTTTTCATAAATTCACAACTAGTGAGAGAATCAGAACTCAGTAGTTTAGCCAGTTCAGGACAAAACTTTGTTCTAATCGTCACATACTTCCCAAAAATGTGACAGATAAGGTGTTGTCATGAGTAGCGATTGAACGAGTTGAAAATAAGAAGACTCGAAGTCAACAATTTAATAATAATTCGACTATAATTTATGCTAAATAAAAACTTAAAAATAGTATTCTCTCGTTTCATCGTTTCATGGACATCATTCGAAATAACTTTTATTCGATTATATACATTTTAAGATCAAGAAATCATTGTTTTTATAATAAACGAGAAATCATTAGAAATAATCACTCGATTATATAATAGATATGATTTCAATAATCGAGATATCTCGATTATGCCCATCACTACTAAATATTAAGAGAAGTGTATACTGCTTTATGTAAATAATTTACATAATAATTAAAAGTTTATACTGGTACATTAAAAAAAACGTATTCATGATATTACATTAAATACTATTTCTTATTTATATTCGCCTTTAATTAAGGAGCAAATGATAATATTAATAAAATGCCATTTTTTTCTAATACGTCAGTAGTGTATTTTTTATCATGAGATTCTTTACAATTATTTCAAAGAAAAGTATTATTCATTTTTGATCAAATATTAATTTATATTTTATTATTATGCTATCAAATAAATTTAGTATACCAGGTTACCAAAGCAGTGAGAAATCAAAATTTTGTGTACCAAATGACTTTTATTTTATGGAAAAAACTATAAGGGTAAAGTTGCATAAAGACAATAGAGTATAATAAGTCCAGACTTATGTACATTTAAAAAGTTAAAAATTATATGCATTTAATAAAAAAAAATCCTTGCATTAAATATTTAACAGAAAATACTTTTTAAATAAAGAAGTCATATTTTCTTAATATTCTTGTTTATTTAAAAATAATAAAGAATTGAGTTTTAAATAAAGCTATAAGAAATAGTTAACATGTGTAACATGTTTTAAAAATAAAGTTTAGATTTGTTTAAAGAAACTATTAGATTAGAGCAATACTAACAGAATTTTTACCTAAAAAAATGTTAACATAAGTCAAACAAATTTTAACTATAGAGTTAACATTGTTTTACATAACATTAATCATATGAAATGAAATTTCTACTACAAAAAAATATTAAGTTTCCATGCAGTGATCATAAAATTACATTGATAGTTGATATTTCATCTTATTAAATTAGCATGAAAATGGGTCAACATTCATGGATGGAATACCAAAAAAAAATTGGTAAACACATGGTATAATTTTAAATAATTGTTTAATAAGATAATAATAGAAGAATTTATTTTATCTAAGGTAAAATAAAGGTCATAAGAAATATTTATAGTTTTTATTTTAGAGAATAGTTATAGATTCAATTGTTCAAATAAAATTATTAATTTGAAATGTACAGAAATATAAAACAGTAATTAAACTAGCGTGACAATACAGAATAAAATTATTAAAAAAAGAATAAATTAGTGACAAGATAATTGGCTTAATCGATTTAAATAAAAGAGCTAAAATATAAACAATAAAGACTAGTTTCATTCGTTGGTTGCTAGATAAATCATTATTATACAGGTAGATCGTAGTTACACTAATAATTCAAATTAATAAAAAAATATTCCATTACTAAGCGTCTAACTAGGGTTTATTACCTGCGAATAAAAGAATATTGTTTAAATGTCTATAAAAGGATATCGACTTTTCAAATATTATTAATAACGAACCCGTCAACATGTACTAAAAAATTAAATCATGTATTTCACTAAGTGGATAACTGAGTATTTTTCACTAAAACGCTAGATGTAATACTCAATCGAGAATTACCGGTGACACCACAGACTATATGAAACTATTTTCATATAGTCTGCTGGACACTTTAATTTCGCAAAACACGTTACGTTGAGTAACCAGTCTATCTACAATTAAGGACGGGTCAAAACGTAATTGACGGGGACGTGAAGAGCGATTCGGTTTTGTTACGGAAATTCCGTAGAAGGGGAGAATATTAGCTAACAGTGAGTTCTAGTGACAAGCACGTATTTAAAATAAAAATTTTTAAAAACGTAGTGGGAGAATCGGAAAAATAGTAAGTAGTACTGTTACTTTAAAATTACCCCTTCTACGGGACATATATAATAAAATCTTATCGTCTGATAAAACGTCGTGTGTTATCCACTTTAACTTAATTTATGGTTTTCACTTTGCATTAACGAAAATTATAATAAACCCTTTATATTTTAATAAATGACACTATTTAGAACGTAAGAATCGTATTTAATCATAGATGTATTAACCTGATGAATTTTATGCTTATCTCAGATTTTAAAAATAATATAATACTTTATATGATATATAAACTTCTTTTTATGATTAAAAATTAATGACATGAAATTTTTTAATTTTTAAAAATTAAATATCTTTTTCCACATGTTATATTTATACAATAATAATTGAATATTGATTTTATATATATAATAATAATTTGTGGTACTGAACTCAATTTAATCTGTAGTTTTGTTTTTAATATTTAAGTATTTTAATATCCTATCTGCATATCATATTAAAAATTTGGTTTAGTATTAAATGGACATAAACTCTATATATATGAGTACATACATTCAACGGTATTGTGTTAATTTTACATATTAAACAAAAAATGATAATTAACTTTTTTAATGAAATTTATAAATATATTAAATATTTTCAGGCATGATGCTGCTGATTATATTCCTATGTTTTCCAGCACAATAGATGACACTTCTAATGATAAATTTAGTATTTGCATACGCATTATTGAAAACATGGAATATATTTATGAGCAAGTAACAGGACATGCACTAATTTCAGTTCTTTGTTTGAGAAATATCACACCACCGGATATACATAAAATACCAATACATATTCTTTTTTCTGATCATAAATTACTAGCAGTATATAGACGAGGATGGTATGAAAGTATTGACTACAAAAATATAAATTTAGGAATGATTTTAAATAAAAACCCTATAGGACCTAAATTAGATATTAAATTAAAAAATTTGGCTCCAGATAAGATATTATCTGTTGTTCAATATTGTAAACGTACTATAACATCAATTTCTTACATATACCAGAAAATAACAGGCTTTTCTATATTATCCCCTAAAATGTGTCATTGGATGGATCAAAATTTCTCCAATATAAAAATCCAAGATTTATTATCTGATGATTTGTTAGCAGCTGTATATTCACGAGGTTGGAGTGATCAAGAAAGCAGTATTGTAAATATGATAAATTTTTCAAATATTGATGGAAGATCTACTTCACTTAATAGTAATAATATAAATAACAAGACAATTATTATAAACCAGATAATTCAAAATACAGTACAAATTAGTACTACCAATGAACTAACAGAAAAAATGGCTTCAAGAAAGAAAATTGAAATTTCTAATAAAAATAATGTAGCTGCAATTTCAGAAAAAAAACTAAGTACTAATTTAAAAAAAAATGATAAAAACCATGATAATGTTAAGATAATTGCCCAAAAATATAATGATAACAAAATTATGTTTGAAAAAAATAATAAAAAAATTGAACATTTTCATAAAATTGAAAAACTAGAAGCACCCGAAAGTAACAATATAGCTGATAGTAATTTAGGTTGCAAAAATGAAAGCATAAGAAGATACCAACCTTTTCCTTCAATGACAAAAAATTATTATAATTCTAATATTATTTCTGAAACAAACAATTTAATGGAGAAACAAACTCCTATAAAAAATTTATGTTTTATAAATGAAAAAAATCCTAACATGTGTTCCAAAAACTACTTTAATGAGACATTGAAATTAAAAAGAAAATGTAAAGATATAAAGACTACATTACAAAGTCATAAACAGATTTATAATTTTCATGATGCACACATAAATGGGAGTAATGTTGAAAAAAAAAATTTAAATACATGTAATGTGTCATCAAATAGTCTTGCCAATGACACTAAAGATAGTGAAAATTATGAGTCAGTTGTTGATGATATATTGAACTATATTAATAGAGAAATACTAAAACAAGGCAATTGTATCATAAATAATTCTAATACAGAAAAAAATCTTATAAAAAAAAAGAAGAGAAGACGTCAAAAAAAAAACATTAAAAATAAATAATTTAACTATATAAATATATTATTTAATGGGATGGTATCAATTAACTATATTACAAGGAAAAACTACCTAAAATCATTAATTTGTTAAAAAAAAATTATAAAATTTATAATTTTTTGATATTTAATATCAAACAATATTACCATAAAATAATAATGACTATAATTAATTTTTTTTTTAATTTTATAATTGTCAAAAATTTACTAACACTATTAAAAAAAGTCTTTGAATAAATTTAGTTTTATTATTAATTAATAGTAAGCTAGAACTAACTAAATTGTATAAAATGAATACATTTTTTGATTTATTATTAACTTTTATATCTCTACATATACTACAAAAATGTTACAAATTTGCAAAAGCTTGATATATGTGCACATTTTCTGAATAAGTACAAATTTGGATTGATAACTTGGCAGGAACAAATATCACTTTCCCTGTTGATAATAATAGTTCTGATAGTCCAATTACTTTACACTGTCCATTTATCACAATTATAATGGAAGCGGCTCTTCGTGTTATTAAATTGCAAGTAATATTAGGAGGAATCTATAAAATAATTTACGGAATTGTATTTAATAAAAATAATTATTCTATTCTAAAACAGTGTTAATGAAAAGGCTTGTAGTTAGGTTTTCTTTCTTGCTTTAAAAAGTTTTTCTTTCACATGTTGGAGAAAAAAACGGACAGTAGAATAAAAAGTGTGTTGTGCGATATATATATATATATTTATAAAAATGTTTGCTACCTTAAAACAAAAAATCCAACACAGTGGGGTAACGGCATAGTTTACAGCCTTATAGTCAAATAATTAATAAAAATAATCATTGAGACATTTTTCTTTTTTCAACATAGTAATTTCAAAAAGTTTTAATTTGTTATAAGTTTGAAGAACGCAGAAATTTCAATATAATTTCAAAAATTGAAAACAAAGAATTTTTTTTATTATTAAATTACTTTTTATGAGCTTTAATTTGATATACGTATAAATAATGCACATTTGTTTGAATATAAGCATAGGTGACATAGAATTGATGTGAGAAAGGAACCCCACATTAACTGTTTTAAATAACAATAGTTTTCTAATTTTTTGAGGACCATGCTATGTAATTATTTTAAATGTTGAAACTACAACTACTAAACATTTTTAAAATGAGGTTGAATTAATTCGTAGATATTATGTGAGGTAAAATTTTGTCATCACTCTCTTCCTAAACAAACATGAAAATTAAATGTATTTTAATAGAGAAATATTTTTAAGACAGGAGATATTAATTTAGACCCGTTAAATATTTTGTTCGAATTGCGACAATGTGTCTATTCTATTCATGAAATTTATAAGAGGCGTTTTCAGTTAACTAAATTATTATATATATATATATATACAAATTATAATTTACTAAAAAAAAATACCATGATATGTGCTACTGAAAAATCAGGAACTGGTGGTTTAAATAATGTTGTGTAATTGTTTTCTGAAACGCCATAAAAAAGCTTTAATTCAGCAGGAGCACCATCAAAATTAGTAATGTTACATAAGGTTTCAACATCAATATTTTTTGATGTCAATCCAGCTCTTACTACATTATCAGAACATGCCATGCATTCAATACAGTCTAAAATAATATTTATTATACAAATTATTAGACGAGAACAGAATTTAAAATCATTCATCAAAATGAAAATATTCATAGGTAATCATTTTATTAAAAAATATTTCCTTTTATTGTAAAACTTAATTTTTGTGACTTAGTATCTTTCCCATATAACCATCTTCTTTATTGTTCATTCTAAATTATTTTAAGGAAAATTCTGAATTACAACATAAATGAATTGAAATTTTAGTATAGGTGAATTTTAATATTTTTACATTGCTATACTGTAATAAATAACTAGTATGAAAAATTATGTATACTTCTATCCTTTTCTTTATAACAAATATCATCGTATAATTTTATAGAAAAAACAAAATAAATTTCAAAAACTAGCATTTTAACCACTGAATTAAAATAAGAGTTTTTGATATCACAAATTTTCTATAAAACTAATATATACCTTCAAATTTTTAAAAAATGTTTAAATAAATAATTATTTTTTTATGCAATCTTTAAAAATTAATTAAAAATAAAAAGTGTAAGTAAATTAAAAGTTATAAAAGTTATCAGTTACATTCGTTCTACTCTATATATATAATATATATATATATATATGAAATGCAAATTATGTACGTTTTATATACAGGAACAGCAAAAAAAAAAAATACCTGGGTTTTGAAAAGCTATAAAACAAAAAGTATTGAACATAGAGAATTTTTTTTTATTTGAAACTATATATAATACAAATTTTTACTATTTATTAAATACCATTAGAATAACAACCTTTACAGGCAATACACTGAAGTATAGATTTTGAAAGATTTCGAGCTACTTTGTAGCACATATCAAATGTTATTTTAATTTTGGATAATTTAAGCCTTCATCTCTTCTAAAATATGTGAATGTCTAAAAAAAATTTTCATTCAGAAAACACCACAGTTTGAAAAGGCAAGTATGCGAGTAATTCTATATAACCCGAAAAAAAAACATTCTTGCAGTGTAAGAAGTTTTTCCTAAATTTTGCGAACCTTTCTAAATTAATACATCAATGTAATGTTATTATGTAATAATGGTTACAATGACACATTTCCTGAATTTCTATCCTTACCACAAGCTAACCAACCTTTCAAGACCTGGGATTTTTTTTTGCTGTAATCTGTCCTTATTCACATAATGTAATCATTTTAACTACAAATTAAAACTTTTATTTATTTTTAGCTCAATTTAAATTTAAAAAAATATTATAAATGTTATAATGGAAACATATAAAAATATAAAGAACTATTTGTAAATAATAAAGTAATGTAAACTTATGTACCTCCATAAATGTATGCATGAGGTACATTAGCACCTAAATAAATTGCTTGACCTGGAGTAAGTTTTATATAATTTAAAAAGTATATACAAAAACATCCAACATCACCAGGATACCAGCAGTCAAGTTGACAAAATAATTTTGCTAAATATTTTTTTTTGTGCTCAGCATCTATAATATATAATATAAAATTCAAATTCATTCAAAATAATTTTAATTACTATTAAATATTGTTTTAAGTTTTTATACCCTAAATATTATAAATTAATAAATGATCATTAAAAGTATTTTTTCTGTATATATTAATCTATATAAATTAGAAAATATGACATTATTAATTTCAGCAAAACATTTTTTCAGATAATGGTGGTCTCTATGTGGTGAAATCTCCTTTCAACGGAAATGCTCCAGACCAAACTTTTTGTGTTAAAGATGTGGTTTTATTTTAATAAAGGTTAATTTTAATTCGTAAAAAAATTGGACTATAGAATATTTTCTGTTAAAAGAAGTTTTCACTGTAGTTGTTTTTGAATATTAGAATACATATGTATATGTATTAAGAATACAAATATTGAGTATTTTTAACATAATGTTAAATAAGTCAATTTGGGAGGTGGTTAAAATTGAGGTACTTTAATATCTAATATCATATAAGCTTTATCAACTATAACACTAGTAAATGTTAACAAATATTGTTAAGAATACAAAATATTTGTTGATACAAATGATGTGATGAAGTCAGTAAAATATTTAAATACCTCAATATTAATTATAGCTAAAAATTGGTCTATTTGATAGTACTTCATATTTAATACAAATTTCCTATTTGTTAATTAGAATAGTACAATTAATTTTATGCTTGATACATTAGGGTTTCACAAGTTAAATTTGTTTTTTTCATATAAAATTCTAAGTACTGAAATATATTAGAGTGGGTACATCAGTAGGGAAACTGAATATTTCCATGTGTAATCAATCATGAATTAATGTAAAAAATGAATTTGTTAAAAAATAATGAATAAATAAATAATTAATTAATTAATCCCAAAAATTATAATTTTTTATAACTAAATTTTAAAAGTATTTATAATTTAATTTATCTACTATTGGTGTCTTCTTCTATTTCATTTAATAAACTGAGTTTTTTACCAATAATGTACTTACCAAGTTTATTTATTTTATTTTTGTGACTAGTAATATTTTGTTTAATAATTTTTTTGTCAGAGGTCATTAGTTTGTAAAATATATTTTTGACTATGTCATTTTCATTAGTAGTACCTTCTTTTAATTTTTTTAAAAGTTCAAGTCCAATTATATCTTGAAACTCTGGTATTTCTAAATAAAAACAATCATTAAAAAAAAAAATTATATTCACTGATTGATTTTCAAAAGTACCTACTAAAAACATTTTTATTTCTGCATAAGGTCTAAAACCACAGAGTCCTTCAAAATTGCTTAATGCAATAGCAATTTCTGGTTTATGATTGGGATCCTGATAAACTTCAGGATACTCCTGGTGAAGTTTTTCAGCCATATCCTAAAAAATTAAACCACACATTTTATATAAGTTATTTAATTAAACAAATAAACAATAAAATAAAGTAAAACATATAATTTTTAAAATAAAAGATAATTACACCTAAAACTATTTAGAATAAAAAAATAGATTTTTTTTATAGAGACATACCGAAGGAAATGATAAATTAGGATAATTTATAACAAAATAATTGTGTAAGGTAGCAAGGTTTTAAATATGTTTAAAACATCAAACATTTCAAATTTTACGTCTTAAGGGAAATTTTAAATTGTTTACTTATGTTTTAAACATATTTAAAAAAAGCTTGTTTTTTAACAATCTTGTAAGACAAATAATTTTTTTTAACAGTAATAAATTTTTTATATTTTTGAACTCCTTCACCTTACCTAATGACTTAATCCTGAACATTCCCTGAGTTCCTATGTAAACAATTAATAACAAATTTCATGAAAATCCTCAAGTATCTTATATGTCTTTACAAAAATTAATAAGTTAAGTAGTATGCAAAAAACTAATTTCCTATTTCATTTTAGAATTATTGAGATACTTATTGAGAGTTCAAAAGGTGGTATTGACGAATATGTAAGACATAGTATTAAGTGAGGATGGGTGAAGTGGAGAGAAACATCTGGTATGTTATGGAATTTCAATGAGGCTGTAGAGAGACCAGCTATGATATATGGTTCAGTGTTGAGTAGTTGAAAAGAGAAGAGAGCAGAAAATGAGTGTAGCAGAGATAATAATGCTTAGATGGATGAGTATAGTGACTAGAGAAGATAGGATAAGGAACGAACATATAAGGGGGAGCATAGATTTAATGTCAATCGTGGGTAAAGTGAGAGAAAATATTTTGAAAATAGAGCTGTTATACAAATGAATTTTGAGGGAAGAAGAGGTAGAGGAAGACAAAATATAAATATGAAGGGATGCTATTGAGTACGATATAACGATAGCTGATGTGTGCATAAATGATGAGGGAGATAATGTCAAGTGGAAGTTAAGGATAAGGGTGGCTGATTCCAAGTAGTTGGGATAAAGACAAGAAAAAAGAAGATGTATGGGAGGTTTAAGGTTTAGAAGCATAAAAATTAAAGCAGCCTTTCTCGCTCTAAAAGAAATAAAAAACTTCTAAAATCTATATTTTACTCAAATGATGCTAATCAGAATCTTCTTATTAATGCATCCCAGGCATGGACACAATTAGCAGTTAAGAAAATTTAGAAAATAAGTGTTTTTGTATTAATTATTTTTTAGGATAGGAGAGAAATGAACTCAACAAAAATTTTAATCTAGTTGTTCCAGTGAGCACAAGATAACAATACCCCTTACTTTCATAAATGTAACTATTTAGAAGTTTATTCTTTTTTTACAAACTTTATTTTTATAGATATTTTAAGTCTATAATTTTGGTACTTTTTATTATTTAGTTAAACTGTATACTTCAATCATGAAATATATAAGCTTACATCTACAAAAATTACCTTATCTGGATGCACTTGAATTGATAAAGCTGAATTAATCGATAGTACTTTTAATAAAAATGGTAAATTTTTACCAAATTTTGCTATAGACGTCTCACCTAGAGCTTCATGATTAAAATCAATCCATTTGTTTAAATTCAAACCAGAATTTTTAACAATTGACATGCCTTTACTCAAAGCACCCATCCAAAGTTCAGCATAAAATTGCTTTTCGTCCACAATATTTATATGGCCACCAGCTAAACCTAAGCGACAGACCTCACTATCCAACCCTTTTTTTCCCCAATGGTAATTTTGAATAAAACACTTTAATTCAAACATATCACACATTTTAAATGTTGAAATAGAAAATTTAGTAAAAAACTAAAGTATTCAATACTTAAAAAGATTTTACATATACATAATGCATGTAATCTATGTCTTCACTAATATTTATTTGTGAAACCTTATTTTATCATTAGGAGATAAGGTAACATAAGTTATTAACACAGACTGTATGAAAATATAGTTTGTGCTATTAATCAAATTTTGTATTTATATAAACATTAACGTAACATACAAGTTACAATGGCTACAGAGTAATCTAAGGTTTTGTCTTTCGTGTTTTTAATGCATATTGACAGCAATTATTTATTTAATTATTGTTTTTATTATTAAATACATTAATTTATAAAATTTCATTTTAATCATCTGTTAATTCATCTCATTTTAGTAGAGTAGATCATAGAACTTCCTAACATTTATGTGTTATCTACTTATTTATATAATAACAAAGAAGATGGATTCATTAATAAATGTATCTTGATAACGGTATTATTTTACGAAAATAGTTGNTATATTTTAAATAAGTGGCGCCCTCTAGCGGTCCATTTGAGTTTTATGTCTGATAAGGAATTGCTATATAGGAATTGCTAACTTCACAGACATACATAATCACAGACTATATGAAAATGTATAGACTTATACATGCCTGTATCTCTCGCTATATACTAAATCATTGTCTATATTGTAAAACTATATTTTCATAGTGTGTCATATTATCATCTATTATTTCTATTAGTCAATATGAATCAAATGCCATTTTATCCATCTCAATAGTATATTTCGGTAAAATTATTACTGGAATAAATGCATATGAAATCATTTATAGTAAAATACCATTGTTATGTTACTGTTTCTGAACAAAATTGTATTTATATAATTCATTCTATGACTGTGTAAGATAAGCAAATTTGACATAATACACAAATAGCATATACTTCTTATAAGAAAATATTGATCTACTGAATTAAGAAATTTTACAAGATTGGTTTGAAACTGTTAAACTTGTAAAAACCTTTTTTTATAGAAGTCGTGTATAAAAAATAGATTATTTTACAGTTTAATCAATTAATTTCAAGGCAGTTATTTGTTGTTTATTTTCTATTATGTCATTACTTACTTCTGAATGGGTTCCATACAAAACAGAAAATTATTTCAGGTAAAAAATATTTGTTTTATATTTTGTGATTTAATTCTCCTTCAAAGATTATTTTATTTCTGTCCATATTTTAGTATGAACATATTTATTTTAGTACTTAGAAGTTGTTAGGAGAAAATTTATGGAATTGAAAGTTTTAATTTTTCTTTGGTAGAGTTGTTTGAAGTACTCTTTAAATATATTTTTTTATTTAATTTGGTTTTATTCAAAAAATATTTTCATTTATATAATCAAAATTGAAAATTTTTTTAGGAAACTCGAAATTTACCCAGAAATGTTTTGGAGTAATGAAATTGATATAAGTACATCAGTAGTAATTGCAGCACCTTATGGAGGACCAATTATTGTAGTACGAGACCGAACCAAACTAGTTTCTATTAAAACTGTTGGGAAACCAGTGATAACCGTATATACATCATCTGGAAAAATAATTTCATCTTTCATGGTAAGTTCATTGAAATTTTCATATAAAAAATTAAATAAGTTAAATAATTAAATATTTTTTTATCTCAAAAATTAGGAGGTTTTCCTCCAGGAAGCTTTAAAGAAATAATTAAATTACATCCTGGTATTTCTCAGGTTTTGGTTTGTTTTGTCTTGGATGTCATTAAAAGTTTGCAATAAAATAATAAAATTATGAAAATTTACTAATGCCTATTTAACCTAATAACAATTGTTATTATATCTACAATATTATATGGTTTATATAATTTTTTTAATTTTATACCATTTTGAATCTTTATAGGACAACAATGGTGGTCATCTAGTTAATTTAGGATGGTCTAATAATGAAGAAATATTGTGCTGCCAAGAGAATGGTTTAGTTTCAATTTATGATTTATTTGGAAATTATCAACATACATTTAGTATGATTAAGGTGGTTGAAATAGTTGTAAAAATAAATAAATGTTTAGTTATTATAATTTTATGTTTAGGACCGTCAGAATATTAAAATTATTGATGCTCGAATATCTAGCAACTCATTAAGAACTACAGTTGCTGTTTTGACAGAATATTACAGTATTTATGTTATGAATGATATAACAAAAGTAAAAACTCACATTTTGCCAGAAATTCCAGGTAATAAAACACTTATAATTTTATAGTTTTTAGAAACTTTATAACAAACTATTGTAACTGAATTTTTTAGATTTGAATTACCCTCCAAACTTATGGGAAATAATACTACAAGATAGGCAAACAAGTGTATTAGTTGCTAGTGAAAACTCTATTTTTACAGTATCTCACGCGGAGTGTAAACAACAAGTATACCAACAAATTATAAAATAAAATTTAGTAAAACTAAAACTTATTTTTATTTTATGCAGTTCATCAAGTTTAGTGAGGTAGATTTCAATAAAGATATTATTGTTCAAAATTCTATTAAAAAAGTTGCAGTTTCTTTTGATCATAAGAATATTGCTTTATTAAACAATGATAATAAAATTTGGATAGGTTCATCAGATTTTCGAAAAGTTTTTAGAATTTACAACAAAAGTTTTTCTAGTACCACCATTGATCAAATAGCATGGTAATCATTTAAATTTTTTTAATATACCAAAAAAATAACTCGATATCACAAACAGGTGTGGTTTAGAAGGTGTAGCTTTATATTCAAAAGCTGAAGATGTAGTCATGATTATTGGAAAAAATGATGATCAAGTATCTTTTATTTATGTTGATCCTATAAATTTATATGCAGAAATAGATTGTGTTAGAGTAATTGGTGCTTTTTCAAATGATATTTTACAATTGGTACCTCATCATGTCCAAGAAATTTTCCGCATTAATAGTACAAGTCCGAGTTCTTATTTAGTTGAAGCTTCAAAACAATTTCAGGTAGAAACCAAAACATTTTTAATGAAATGTTTTAAAACTAAAATATTTTAGAAACGCAATCATAGAGCTAATGAGTATATACACCTTGTAAGTAATATGTTAGAAACTGCTGTAAACAATTGCATAGAAGCTGCAAGCTATGAAATGGATGTATCAACTCAAAAAGTATTAATTAAAGTAAGTTCACTCTATAGTTATTTTTAATTGTTAAACCAATATTTTTAAATTTTTAACTATAAAATACAAATAATTTATTAAGAATTTTAATAATAGACTGATTGGTCTAAGTAGTTACTTTTTTTTTATAGGCAGCTCAGTTTGGAAAAACGTTTTTACAAAATTGGAATCCAGAACGCTATTTATATATGTGTCGACTGCTACGTGTTTTAAACGCTGTTCGTGAACCAAAAATTGGAATTTCAATCACATATCCACAGTATGCAAATATAACTCATATATATATATACAGGGTGTTCAGTAAATAAGGAAACAAATTTCTATTGTACTCATTGTTTGTAACAATTTAACTGTTTCCTAACTTACTGAACACCTGTATATAAAGTGGTCTGTGATGTTTTGAAAAATCTAATAACTTTTGATATACTGAATATTTTGCAATATTATTTTTAAAATATATTATTTATTATAAGAATAATAAAATATTAAATTAAAACTATGTGTTAATGTGTAACATATTTAATCATTATATGAAATGATATTTATAAATTATTATAGACTGCAACAAATATCACTTGAACTATTATTTGATAAACTTGTTGGACAAAGGCATTACTATTTAGCGCTTCAAGCCTCTTCTTTTATTCGAATGTCAACTAATATAGGTTCTAGTCGTATTCTTACAAATTGGGCTAAATTTAAAGTATGTTACTTCTGATATATTAAATATTATTAATAATATATATATATATATTTTAATAATAGTATTATGAATTTACTTTCTTTTCAGATAAGCCAAACTCAAATTGATAAAGAACAGTTAGCAGTTACAATTGCTGATAAGCTTGGCAAATTTTCTGGTGTTTACTATCATAATATTGCTGAAATGGCTGCAAATTGTGGTCGAATACAACTTGCAATAAAAGTAAAATGTATTATTTTCAACACAACTATAACTTGAAAATAATTTATTTTCATTTAAACCCTTTTTTAAAAATGTTCTTGTAAAAGATAATGGAATAATATGTTACTTATATACTACTTATATTGTAATAAGTTAATTAGTATATAATAATAAAATGTCATAGCTATTATATTATATTTAGAAGTGAACTAAAATGCATTTTTCTGATATCTGATCAGATGATATTTGTTGGCAATATAAAACCGATAAATGATCCAATATTAAAAGTCACACTTAAAAAACTTTTTTCAACTAGATTAAAAAATAAATATTGTATCATACTTTTAAAAATACTAGTATTACATTTTCATTTATTTTGTAACTCTTGATTTGTTGATCTCACTAATTTAAGTACATTAGTACTTATAGAAAAATTAAAAAGTATTTATTAATAATTTTATATTTAAAATTTTTTTTTTTTTAATCTATTAATTTAAATA